TCTTTATGTTTCACAAAGTGTTTTTTTGTTGCTGTTTTTTGTTTGTTTGTTTTTTTTTAGACAGAGTCTTACTCTGTTGCCCTGGGGAGAGTGCTGAGGCGTCAGCCTAGCTCACAGCAACCTCAGACTCCTGGCCTCAAGCAATCCTCCTGCTTCAGCCTCCCGAGTAGCTGGGTTTACAGGCATGCGCCACCATGCCCGGCTAATTTTTTCTCTATATATTTTTAGTTGGCCAATTAATTTCTTACTATTTTTAGTAGAGACAGGGTCTCGCTCTTGCTCAGGCTGGTTTCGAACTCCTGACCTTGAGCGATCCTCCAGCCTCGCCTCTCAGAGTGCTAGGATTACAGGCGTGAGCCACCGCGCCCGGCCCACAAAGTGTTTTTATGTAGATCATCTCTCTTAATCTTTGTAAACATTACTATTATTATCCCCATTTTATAGATACGTTAAAGCTGAAGGGGAATATTAAGCCGTTAATAGCTATACCGTGTTTTACGGTTTACAAAGTGCTGTAAAATAATTCGTCTAATTACTACCTGTAGATCTAGTCCGCGGGGTGAGCTCTGATCCATAAGGCGGAGGCCTCGGGAAGGCCACCCAGCTCGGCCCCTCGGGACGCCAGGGCTGCTCTCCCTACATGGCAGTCCTCGCGGCAGAGTGCTGACCCGCAGCCTCGGGGCCACCCGGGAACTTTTTGGAGACGAAACTTACCGGGTCCCCCACCCCCAGACTCGCTGAATCAGAAACTTGGGGCGGGGATCCCAGCAGCCCGCGTTTGGGTAAAGCCCCCGGAGAGCCGGGCGCACGCGGAGGCGGGCGAGGCCCCGCTTGCCCTGGCTGTCTTGTCTGCGACTGGTCGGAAATCGCCGTGCACGTTAGCTCAGGTCTCGGCCACGGACCCAGCGCTCTTTCTAGCTCAGTAAATCGACGCTAAACTAAAAAATAACACGGACCCCGACCACAAGGATAAGAGCTAAGCTCACGGCTGTTGCCGTAAGGGCTGTGAAATCACAGGGCGCACGACACACAGTCGCCCGGCGACGTTTCTGCCGAAGAGCTCGCACGAATACGCGGCCGTCCCGTGAGATAGGGACGGAGGAGCCGCCCATACAGAAGGGCCATTTCTTGTCTTTCATGCCGTGTTTCCACTGCGCCTTCTCTGTGTTTGCATACGCAAGCCCTGCCACTGTGCTGTGGTTGCCTGCCGAGCTCAGTCCAGTGACATGCTGTGCAGGTGTGGCTGGGAGCACGAGGCTGGACCGTCCCGCGCAGGTGTGCGCGACCGTGCCGTCCGGCTGTGTGCGAGCGCACTTCGTGTTGCTCACGCAGCGATGCGTTTCTCAGAGCGTGCCCCCGTCACTAAGCGACGCAGGACTCTACTACAAATGAGAGACCGTCCTTCGAGGTTGAAGGACATGATTTTCGAGTCAATCAGCACGGGCGGCAACGTCGTGCACGTCACACAGTGGACGCGAGGCACTCAGAGCCCCGGCGGACGCTGCGGCTGACCATGCACATCCGCGCAGAAGAGCTGGGGCCTCTCCGGAAGCTGACCCGTGACACACGGTTACAGGGGAGATTGCACATGTGGACCCCTGCCCTGCACCAGGCATTTCACGCGTGTGAGGTCACCTGAGCTTAAATGATCCTCCCTGCTGGGTACAACCATCCCCACCTCACCCTAAACAATCAGGGCTCAGAGAGCTGAAATGCCTTGCCCGAGGTTCGCGCAGTTAATGAGCGGTGAAATCACGCGTCTCAGATAGAGGTCTGGTTTTCCCCAAATTCGGAATCCTTTTACCTACTTCGCTTTATGATGGATCGCAATGTATTGGGGGGAAAAACCTTTCGAAGCAGCCCACATCTTAACACCAAGGTCTCACCTGCAGCTGTGAAGTTGGCCAGCTCCCTACGCAGGACCCACTTACCCCGCCCCCCGCTGCCCCGACCCCCCACCCGTACAAATCCTCCTCGAGTTCCTGCCGTGGCTCTGCAGTCAGGAACAGCACCACACTCATTTTTCTAACCCTTCCTGTGCCCAGTGGAGCTCTGAACAGAGCAGGTGCCCAGCTAATGTCTGCTTAAAGCATTTGCAGACATTGATGTTGGGGACAGCCCCAGTCTCTTGAGATTAGTGGCATTAAAAGGAACGACGTCCTCCCAGCATGTCCCTAGTGCCTCAGGCCACTGACGGACAAATGAACCTGTGGTCCAGGGCAGCGTGAAAGCTCTTTTTGTTCCTGTGCGGTTGGATTGTAGCAGCCCAGCACCTCCAGCAGGCCGCAGAGCGGTTGCTCAAGAGATACTGTTGACAGACTGATTTGCTGGCTAATTTATACGACATACTTATCCAATGACACAGGTCTCTTGGAGGGAGTTCAGAGGAAAGCAACCAGGATGATTAAAGGATTGGAAAATGTGTTTTACAGGGGAAGGTTACAGGGACTGGGGTTATTTAACTTGGAGCTGAGAAGCTGCATGCACAGGCCATCGGGCTGGAAGGAACCGAAGGCTTGTTCAGTCCAGCTGCCTCGATTCCCACCTGGGAAACCAAGGCCCAGCAGCAGGGTACCTCACGGCCGGCAAGAGCAGCTCTGTGCTTTGTGACTGCAGGCCCCGGGGTCTGTCCACAGCACTGGGTCACCCCTGTCCCATACACTAACACACACACGCACACACCAACACACGCACACACACGCACACACACCCGAACACCCACGCACATGCGACCTACGCATACGCCCACACGCCCTCGTTTAAGCCTTAAGCTGCAGAAAGTGGCGACCAGCTCTTTTGTTTACCATGATTTGTAAGAGGATTTCTAGAAGATGTTTACGGAACTGAGAGGGTAAATGAAGAACAATGTCAGCTGCAGCTCTCTGGGGGTGTTCTTGCTGGGAGACGCATTTCTGAGCTGTATGCCTTCTGCAGGGGAGGGGTCCTGCGGCCGCCCAGGCCTCCCCGCAGCTACACTGGGAGGCAGTGGCTCTGCCCCCGTCCTGGTCACTGGGCAGTAGCTGGGGATGGGGGGCTCTTCCTCCTCCGTGGAGGGAGCTGGGGGGCAAGTTGGTAGCAAGGTGTAACCCTGCAGGAAGGTACAGAGCCAAGGTGCAGGGACAGCTCACCGCAGCCACGCCGGGCCTGGTCAGAGGAACCTAGACTCTGCCATGTGACCTTCCGAGAATCACACAACTCCCCCCAAGCCTCAGTTTCTCCCTCAGTAAACTCGGGGCAGGAGACAAGCACTTGCCCAGCCCACCTGGGGAAGGTCACAGGCATAAAAAGAGCAGGTCTGGGCCAGGTATGGTGGGTCACACCTGTAATCCTAGCACTCTGGGAGGCCCAAGGTAGGCAGATGGCTCAAGGTCAGGAGTTCGAAACCAGCCTGAGCAAGAGCGAGACCCCGTCTCGCTAAAAATAGAAAGAAATTAATTGGCCAACTAAAAATATATAGAAAAAATAATTAGCCAGGCATGGTGGCGCATGCCTGTAGTTCCAGCTACTTGGAGGCTGAGGCAGGAGGATCGCTTGAGCCCAGGAATTTAAGGTTGCTGTGAGCTAGGCTGATGCCACGGGACTCTAGCCCAGGCAACAGAGTGAGACTCTGTCTCAACAAAAAAGCAGGTCCCAGTTTGATTTTGTGGCCCTCCCATAACTTAATCTCCCTGGGCCTCAGTTTCTCCTCCTGTAGACATGGGCATGGGACGCTGACCTTGAGGCTGGGTAGAGAAAATTCGGTGAGGTCCTTTACAGGGACCCCAACCCTCCCTTGGCTCTTCAGAGGTTTCTGCAAGAAGTCTGGGTCCTTTCCAGAAGGCACCCCATCCCCAGCTGGCCCCGCCCTGTGGGAGCCGCCCCTCCCTCCACTGCGAGAGCCGGGGAGGGTCCGCGGGAGGGACGGTCTCCTCCCCGCTGCAGAGGCTGCCTGTTCCCCTCCAGGTGCAGGTGGGAGAGCCAGACAGGCCGTAATAGCGACATCCTACAAATCGACAGGCAGGAACCTGAGCTCAGCAGCTCCGTGTCTGAACACGACCTATTCCCGGCGGCCCGGCAGGCTGCGGGAAGAGCCCCGGCCTTGCATCACCCGAGCAGCAGCATCCTGCTCCAGCCACCCCTCCTGGACTCCAGCCCCAAACGCCTCCCGCTCGGCAGTGACTTCCCAGAGCCAAGACGCTCTGCCCCTCTGGTGACTCACCCTAGGGGAAACAGGCAGCTGCTGACTCACCGTCCTCCAGGGAGCACAAGGGCATGGCGTGGCTCCCCCGAGCCCCCGGCCGCAGGGGGACGTCCAGCGGAGGGGGAAAGTCAGGCCGGTGTGGACGCCACCACGCTCCCTACAGCGGGTCTGGCTCCCGCTGGGCTGCAGGGCTGGCCACGCTCCTCTGGCCTGCCCTTGCTTTGGGAGCCCTGAGCCCCAGTCCATCGGGCAGGAGCCGAGTCTCCGGAGCTCCAGCAGATGGCCGTCTGCACTGAGACCTGCCACCCGGGCAGCGCTCCCCAGGAGAGAGCTGGATTAGGACCGACCCAGAGGGATTAGTGGGGGACGCCATCTGCAGGGAGGATCATTGGCTTAGTGGGGTTACACGGGTAGCTCCTGGCCCTCTGCCCAAGGGTACATGCACCACGACTGTTAACATAGCCGGGGCTGCAGGGAGCCCTCCCAGGGGGGCCCTAACCAGCCTGCACTGGGGGGCGGAGCCCCGTCCACTCTGGGCGCCAGGTAGGAGCCCCAAGTCCTGAGTGGGGGACAGCCCCAAGTCCTCAGTGGGGGCAGCCTGCAGGCCATCTCCCAGCAGAAAGCAGCAAGGAACACATGACACTGCGTCAAGCGGGAATTAGGTGCAGGAGTCACCGGTCCCTCAGCTGTTGTCGCTTCCGAGGCTGAATCACCAGCCTCCCCGGGGAGGGCTCTGCTTACCCATTCCGGACTAAGCCGATCTTTCTGGTTTAACGTCGGCAGCACCTATTGGGAGACTGGAATGATCAAACCTGCTCTCTGAAGGCTGAAAACTTTTTATTTTTATTTTTTTTAGAATACCCGTGTTTCGGTGCAAGGCTGCCAGGAGATGAACTCCGACCTCTCGCCTGGCAGCTTCCTCAGTGGAAATAATTAATCAAGTGAAAGAGCCCCCCGGGGAAATGATTGGGATCGAGGCTGTGTGGTCACCAAGAAGCACGGGCTTAGCATCAAGGCAATCCCTGTGCAAACGCAGGCTCCCGCGGCTTCACACGGCCGGTCAGTCCGAGTGGCCACGAGTCGAGGGCGTGGGCTGTGGGCGGAGCCACGCTGCTGGTGAAAGCCGGGCTGGCCCGAGTGACTTTCATCAGTCAGAACAAACATCACCAAGCCCCGCAGTCATCAGCTGAAGTCCAGGTTCTTCCTGCAGAGCCCCAGATACGGGCAGCACAAAGGCATTTCAGATGCGTACATTCGGTTCACATCCACTGCATGCACTTTACAGGTGTACAGCATTCAGTGGTGTTTAATATGTGCTGGTCTGTCTGGATACATGAATACACACACAAGGGCACTAAAAACTGTCACTCCCTTTTTTCCCCCCAGGGAAATGCAGGGAAGCATTGCAAGCAAAGGGAAGATGTAATTTGCCCAGAGTCCACATTTTTGAAATAAGGGGAGTGGATTCAGTGGCCTCTCAGTGGGGTGGCCACAAATTTTGTCAGCCAAACCAAGTCACTTCGGGGAGGAAAACACGGCACGATGTATTCCATCGGGGCTGCCCTGAGCAGCCGGGATGCAGGGACACCCTCCCTCTAAGAACAACCACGTGTAAATATCCCTGGTCAAATAGCCTTTCTCCTGCAGAGAACATATGACAACTACTCAAAGCTCTAAAAAGACGACCAGGCCTTTTCAACCTGAGCCGCCGAGGCCTTTGCATCTGTCAGTAGGAGATGCATGACTCAATGTTGCTGAAACACCAACCGCATTCCAGCTGCCGCCTTAGCCAGTATTAACGATGCAAAGAAAGCCCAGAGAAGCTGGTATCTCATAGCTACGAGAGAAAGCCCGGTAAACGTTCAGTCTCACCTGGCCCCAGAGGCCTCTGCATGTCTGAGGATTTGCACCCTCAACGGCCCCTGCTTTGGGGGGAGGAGCTGCAGCACCCAGCATTCCCCAGCCGGGCACAGTGACGACCTCCACTGCGTCAGCGTGGGAGTCACTTGTGACGGACGGACCTTGGGACTGGATAAAGTCACTCAAGAGTGTGCGGCCGATCTACCCAAAAGAGCAAAAGTCACTCTATGAAAAAGACACCTGCACTCGAATGTTTGTAGCAGCACAATTCACAATTGCAAAGTTGTGGAAACAATCCAAGTGCCCATCAATACCTGAGTGGATTAATAAAATGTGGTATATGTATACCATGGAGTACTACTCAGCTTTAAGAAACAATGGTGATATAGCACCTCTTGTATATTCCTGGATACAGCAGGAACCCATTCTACTAAGTGAAGTTTCCCAAGAATGGAAAAACCAGCACCATATGCACTCACCAGCAAACTGGTATTAACGATCAACACCTAGGTGGACATATAGGAGTAACATCCATCGGGGGTCGGGCAGGTGGGAGGGGGGAAGAGGGGACTAGTATATACATACATGAGTGAGATGCACACCGTCTGGGGGATGGACATGCTTGAAGCTCTGACTCAAGGAGGGGCAAGGGCATTATACGCAACCTTTACATTTGTACCCCCATAATATGCTGAAACAATAAAAAAGAAAAAGAGTGTGTGGCCGGGAAGGGCATCGAGGGCCTGGGAGATCATCACCAGAAGGAAGAGGAGGGTGGGCCGTGGAGTGCGCCGTGGTGGGGTCATGTGGCTGGGGCTGGGTGGTGTGGCTGGGGCTCCTGGTGGCTGAGGCGGCACAGCCAGGGCCTCTCCCCACCCTGCCCTGGGGGAAGCGCTGCGACCCGGTGAGCCGGGGCTCGGGCAGCCACCGCCAGGCCAGGCTCGCTGTGGCTCTGGCAGTGAGCAGGGCACAGCAGGACTCCCCCAGGTGACGGGGCGCCCGGGGCTTCCAGGACAGAGAAGGGCACAACCAGCCTGGAGAGGGCGCCGGGCCCCTCCTCACTGGGGCGGGGCACTGGGGACACCCCACTCCAGAAACACAGAGGCATGGATGCCACTGGCCAGTGGAGAAGTGGGGTGCAGGCCAGATCCTGACGGGTGAGGCAGGGGTGGCGGGACATGTGGGAGGAGGGGGCAGTGTGCATGTGTGTGTGCACGCGTGCACGTGTGCATGTGTGTGCATGTGTGCGTGTGTGCATGCGCGTGTGTATGGGCGAGCCCAGGACCACTCCCTTCCAGAAGGAGGGCAGCTTTTCAGGGAGAGGAAGGGGGTGAGGCCCAGAGGCCTCTGGGGAGGAGGGGCCGGGAGGAAAGAAGCCCTCTCGAAGCAGCCTGGTGACCTAACAAAGCCGGCCCGGCCACCCCCAGGGTTCCGGAAACTCTGAGTCAGTCCTGCCCGGGTCTCCGGGCAACAGGATGCAGGGCCATGGCACTCTTAACACCCCAGGGAGTGAAAGAAGTCTTCCAATGCCAGGTGAAGAAAGAGAGAGGTGGCTTTTAAAAGGGGGCTGTCTGGGGGTGGGGAGGGGTGTGCTGGAGGTGGCTTAGGGTGGCCCTGTTTGGGGATGCTCTGGTGGCCTCCATGTCCCAGCACACCGCCCCCGAGGTGCATGGGCCGAGCCCCGCATGTGCAGGCTGTTTCCCAGGCCCACAGCGGGGCCTCCGTGGAGGGACAGACGGGCTGAGCCTGCCTGCCGGGAGCCTGGGGTCCCGGGAGCCCCATGGAAGGGCACAGCAGTGTGGCCAGTGGGGGCTTCTGCTGCTTCAAGGAGGGGCTGCGGGGAAGGGCTGCCTGGTCGGGCAGCAGTGGAAGGGGAGTCCCCGGGCCCCTCTGTCACCAAGTCCCCCAACGTCCCCCCAGCCAGAGCCTCCCCTCGCTCTGGGGGAGCAACCCTCTTACGTGCAGTGGGTCTCCACGTCACCCCACACCTTTCCTCATCCCTTCCTTTGAGTGGCACTTACTGCTCCCACATCTGTGGGTGACCTCTAAGAACCTTTCTAGAAGGGCCAGCCACACGCTCAAGTAAAATGGGTTCTAGGTAGGGGAAACAGGTACTCTGAACAGTATTTCCTTCCTGGCCTGCCAGTGGGCCTGAAGTTTCCACCAAGCAAGACTCACACCTGCTGCTGAAGCATCGCCTCACCAAGCCTCTTCTCCATCAGTCATGTACACTTTAGCATGAATTTCGTTATCAGATCAATACCTCTGGGGCAGCTATCAGAGAGTAGTCTTGGAGGGAAGCCAAATTGTGTTTTAAGGAAGAGGGAGGAGGGACCGTGTTTGAGAACTTGAGGCCTGCTTGTGGCTAGTGTGAGGACTCACAGAGGAAGAAGGGCAGTGCTAGCAAGGAGAGAAAGTCTCCAAGAAAGGGCAGGAGAAGCTGCCTCGAAATCAAAGCCTGATTCCTCCTGGGTGCGCCCGCATTCCCGCTTACTCATCAGGGCCGGGCCCCCACCCCACTGGTGTTTGGCCCAGCAAGGACGGCATTCGACCCCACGACCCTCCCCCCCTGCAGAAGCCACAGGGCCGGGAGCACCTGCGGAGACTCCTGAAATGGGAGGAGTTCGACGAGCTGCGGGACCCGCGCAGGAGCATCCTGCTGGACGTGCTCTACGACAGCGTCGTCTTCGCTGTGGGCAAGGGCTTCCCCTGGGCGGAGGTGGCCCAGGTGGTCAAGTTCACGGAAGAGCTGCTGAGGGAAACCAAAGGTAAGGGGCGTCCGGGAAGGAGAGGGTGAGAGGGGCACACAGGAGCCCTCGGGGAGCCGGGGCCCTTCCCGCCTTTCCCAGCATGGCCGGAGGTGAGGTCCCCACCCAGGCTCCCCGAGCATCCTCCTCCCTGGTCCTCACGGCCCGCCCGGCTGCAACCAACCGGCAGCACCCGAGCTCTTCCCAGCAGCCGGGTGTTCACTGCGGGAAAGAGCAGGGACGGCCGGCAAAGGCGGCCGGCGGGGTCCCCAGCGTGCGCCAGCCCTTCCCATATTGCACCGGCCCACCCACCGCAGGGCGTGGGTGCAGGGTGCAGACAGACAGCCGCCCGGCCGCTCGCTCTCACTCAGCTGTCTGTCCGGCTAACCCCGTGCTGGCTGCCACTCCTGCTGGAAGGTGGCTTCTCCAGGGATATTGTCGTTGTCGCTAGTCTGGGCTGAGGATGCCTGAGCTGTTTGCAGGTAGATAGCGAAGCCGGCAGCGACATTGCAGGGGGTCATGTTTGTGCAGCGGTGACTCAGCGCTCTGCCAGCTCTGCTTATCTGCCGGCCTGAGCGGGCCTCGGTGCAGGGGTGGGGGGCGGAGGGGCTTTATTCAAAAGCACAGGCCATTCTGTGCTGGCAAAGGGCTCCCCAGGATGTTCTGGTCTCAACTCCAGGCCGGGAGGATGAGTACTTTCCTGGGTGCTGCCTCCAGGGAGCCCCAGGCAGGTCACACCCAGCCGCCTCCTCGGGGCCAAGGGTGAAGTTGGAGGTGCCAGGTGCTGGCGTCTTCCAGCCCGGGGCGTCCTGGTGGGAGGAAATCGCAGGAAGGGGCCGGACCTAGGCCCGGGAGGCTCGGGAGAAGGTTGGGGTGCCAGGAGGGGCTGCATGGGAAGGGTGTGGGCGGCGGGGGACAGAATCCCCTGCCCCAGGCTCCCCTGGGGGTGTGCGGCCCCTGACCCACCTGCAGGACCCCGCCGGCCCACCACGCTCGACCGCTGTGCACTCACCGTCACTGTCATAGTGCCTGGCAGGCACCGGCCCCTCCCAGGTGCTCCAGCTGGACAGCGGGTCTAAAGAGCCCCTTCCTGCTGGCCGGCCCCCAAGTCCTAGGGCGGGAGGCGGAAGCGGGCCTTGGTAACCCACTGGCCCACGGAGGCGCAGGGCAGCCCAGCGAGCGCTTGGGGATGACAGTCATGGCCCTGGCATCTGCAGTGCCACCCACGCCACTCCTGAGTCTCTAGAAAATGTCACCCAGGCAGCGTAGGAGGGGCGGCTGCCCGCCCGCCCCCGGCGGCCCCAGGCTAGCCTCTGAGCCCCCTGCAGGCCTGTCGTCCCAGGATGGGTGCAGCTGTGCCTGCGGTCTGCCGAGCGGCCCCAGGGACCCCAGCGTGCACACGGGGGGAGGGGGGGGGCGGCAGTACTCGGTACCCGCGCACAGAGACCAGGTGCTGCCGCCTGCAGCCCAGGAGGGCCTGCGAGGACCCCCTTCCCAGCCGGACCTGGCGCCCACCCCGAGGCGGGACTGGGGGAGGCCTTGCTGACGGATGGCGGACGTTTCCACGAGGCCCAGACCGGCATCCTGGGAGAGCACTTCTTGGGACAGACGGGAAACTGCCATCCCGGAGTGTCTCGCTTTGCCGGGGCTGCAGCCACAAACTGCCACAGGCTGCGTGGCCTCAGCAGCAGACATCTGCTTCTCACGGCTCTGGAGGCTGGGTCCACGACAAGGCGGCATGGGGCTGGCCGCCCCTCGCCGCTGTCCTCGGCTGTGGACGGCCCCTCCTGCCCGCGCCCCACATGGACGCTCCACCGCCCTGCCCCTGGAGTCTCTCTGAGTCTCACATGCGGCCCGCCCGCATGACCTCCATCGACCCTGACAACACCATGAAAGACCCCACCTCCAAATACAGCCACGTTCTGAGGTCCTGGGGGTTCGGCCTGTAACAGAGTTGGGGTGTGTGTGCACAATTCGGCCCGTGACACCCAGCGAGGCCACAGCTCAGCAGGTGACAGAGTGTCAGTACGTAGGCCAGAAATCAAGACTGTGCCCCCAGAAAGCTTCCCCTGCCTCCCACAAGGGGCTGCCCACCCTGCAGAGGCCTCCACTGCTACGTCCTGGGCGTCATTCTACAGGTGAAGAAGATGCCGAGGTCTGGAGAGCTTAAGTAACTTGCCCAAGGCTGCACCTGTGCTGGTGTCAGGACTCGAACCCAGGTCCCGGTGATGGCAGTGCACGCATCCCGCCGGGCAATCTTCCACCTCGACCGTGGGGACCTGCCGGGGGTGCCGGGGACGAGAGAGCACCTGGAGGACCAGGTGCACCACCCAGGTGCTGGGCTCCTAACTGGGTCACCTGGGTTACTCGCCGAAGTGCTCTGGTCTGGGGTGGCAGCTGAGCGTGGCAGGGGGTACCCGTTCCCTCCAGACCGGAGCTCGGGCCCCCAGGAGGGACCCCACCCACCGCCAAGTTGTCTTGTTCTCCCCGGCCTCGAGCTTCTAGCCTCAGGGGTGACAAGGAGG